CTTCCTTCCTTCCTTCCTTCCTTCCTTCCTTCCTTCCTTCCTTCCTTCCAACAATTTGTTAAGATCTTCTGCAACCTTGTTTTCTGCAAGTTTTATTTATTCATTGTTGACTGAAAATATAGGCAATCCATGTTTTGTTTTGTTTTTTGGGTGATCTAAATGAGTGAAACTCAAGTTTAATTACGCATTTTAATGATTTTGATGGTTGCTTTCAAACACAAAATGCAACAGTAGCAGTTAACGGTAGCACTTCCTGGGAAAGCTGCAATATTTTCAGCAGGAATTTATGACTTTTATGATTTACGATTTCCAGCAGAGATTTTTAGCTCGTAAGTTTGGTCAAAAATAAACTCCCAACTGAGGTCGTTCAAAGAGCTATCTACAACAGGTAAGATATTAATTATGCATAACCTTCCCCCAGCTTCTAAATACCACCCGTCAAATATTTGTGAAAACCCTCACCAGATACACTCTTGTTGGTCATCATTTCAAAAGCGTGTCGGACGTTTCACATGAGTTCACTTAATTTATATATATTAGAAGATGACAAATGCCTGAGTAGTGTTTTCTTCACCGCACCTTTGTGATGTATTGATTTATATCTTCACACATTTTATGGACTCCTGAGTGATTTTAATGCTCTGGATGATTACACTTTTCAGGCAGTAAAACTTCTGTGAATCTGTGCGAACGTGCCAGAGCTACACGTCTGACTAGTTTGATGCTCCCAGTCCTGCCAAAACTAATGGTTCAGTGGGTTCACATGTGTAGCATAAATTATTCTCTTTTCATTACTGAACGCACGGCTAATTTTTAAAGATACTTTTGAAAGGTTAGTTGAATGTAGTTTAACTGAATATTGATGCTTAATGATGATTATCTGTGCAGGATCAGTAGCTAAACTTCTCACAAAGACTCTGATTCATTCTTACACACCTGATCACCTGATCTGTGTTTTCCATAACTGGGAAGGAAATGTTTTACCTGAGTTTCATTTTCTCTGACAAGTGTCCCAACAGCCTTTCTTGTAAACAGTCTTGTTGTTGTAATTACATTTTTCAAATTACACACTCACACAGTATGCAAATGGAAATTCATTGACTGCATTTACTCTTTTTTTTTTACTGCTTCCATAAGCTGCTCAAGCTTTTTACTCAACTTATTTGCAGATGTTTTCATATTCACGATGAGTTATTTAAAGAAGTTTTAGGAGATAAACTGCTTTGTGATGATTATTGTTAAATGTCAGGGTGTGTATGGTTAGCATGATTAGCTGTTGGGGAATCACATGGGATTTCTATAAAACTGGTATTTTTGCATTTTTTAATGAAAAATTGGAAAATTTAACAAATTCTGTTTTATTTAATTTGTGACGTGAAGGTGACTTGTGTGTTATACATCGCTGCTTTACCCCTTGATTTATGCACCTTATTAGTGCTTAAAAAAGTCCAAAACTTGCGCAAACTCAACAAATGGAATGGAAATGGAGGTAATAGAATGAAAAAAGAGAGAAAAAAACAGCCAAACAAATAATTAATTACATCATTCAAAATTTCATCAGATAACATGTAAAGAAAACTTAAGATCACTTCAAATTAAATATGACTATAATAAATAGCAGCTTTTGCATAAATAATATTCCTGTATATTAAGAATGTCTGAATCAATATACCCTATTGATAAAGAGTTTCTATATTTGGCAACATCTTAATTTTATACTTGGATTATTTTGTAATAATGTTTTACAGTCTTTCAGATTATCATAATGTAAGTACAAAAGAAGATTAACACTGTGTTTCTGATGCCTCAGCAGCTCTTCAATGCAGTGAAGAAAACTTGTTGCTTCAAGAGTTGAACTCAAGCTGTTTTTTGTATCTTTATGCCTGTTAGTTAATATTTGTGTTTAACAGTGTAATTTTAATGATACTGTATCATCAGCTGATGATGCAAAGTCTCACAAACTTTATTTTGTTCTGAGGTTGTTTCCTTATTTTTAGATTCATCATTCTGACTGTCTCTTGCAGAAAGGTGAGTCTCTTTAGTCTCTGACAAACTCAGTCTCTCTAAAAGGCTCTTTTTATACCTGGTAATCTGTTGCCAGTCAAAGATTATTGAAAAAATAATTTTTTCAGCTGTTTTCTGTACCACTTACGTTTGTTGTTTGTCTTTTCTGAGCTGTTGCAAGAAGAAGAAAAAAAAGGCAATTTTATCCCAAAAATGTTGCAGTTTTTGGTTTAAACATTTGTTTATCTTGTGAATAAACTAAGGTTTTATCATTGCATTCTGATTTTATTCAGATTTTACGCAACGTTCAAACTTTGGCTACAGAAAAGGAAATTATGCAGCAAACTTGTGACAAAAGTAAAACCATTACAATAAAATGAAGCGAAGTAAACCTAAAACTCCAGGCATTTTTTTTTAGTTTAAAAACCTCATCAGTCATATAATTTTCCCAGAAAGCATTATGTCCTCAGATCAGCTCCAACTTTAAACGAAATATATTTCCTATGAACAGATTTCTTTTATGTGTTCAGACTAAATCAATCCTCTGATACAAAAAGTGACTTCTTGGCTTCTGCTCATTTGTCTTGGCACGAGTTGAGAAAAGTTACAGCTGCAGTGGCTTTAACAGCTTCTGCTGAGGTCTCACACACAAACACACACACAGACACACACACACACACGTACACGCGCGCGCACGCCCACACACCCCGCCCAGGTTCCGCCCAATGGTCCGACCCCTGGAGGAGAACAAACAGGATCTTGTGACGCAGCGGCAGCGGCACAAACGTGCGAGCCGCTGACAGGAGCGCACACGCCGACACTTTGCGCACAAATCGAGGACAGTTTCGTAACTCGGGGAAGTTTTTTTGTGTGTGTGTGTTTGTGTGTGTGGAGCCATCGACCAGAGATTGTGTGAGTGGGTCTTCAGAACCTGATGCCAGTGACGCTGAGGAGATCTCAACCTTTTCAGTGGAGTTTCTAACTAAAGAGACGGTCTGTTGGGTCCATTTGGATAGAACCAAACCTCCGTGCGTCCCGCAGGAAGACTGTCTGACTGAGAGGCTCCTCTGAACAGTAAGTGTCACAGGTTGGGTCCCCGGTCCCGGGTCCCGGGTCCCGGGTCCGCATGCCCTCAGGTCTGATCCGGGACATCTGATGAGGTTTAGGACTTAATTCAGAGAGATGATGACAGGAGAGAGATGGAAGCGTTCACTTTAGAGCTGAAGGGTCCAGTTGGGGTCTCTGTCACAAGAATTTGTTGTTGTTGTTGTTG